AGGGTTACTAGTGTCAGCATGAAACTTTGGAAGAGGTGGCCAGGAACGGTCAAGCACACAACATGGGCAGTTGCGCATGGCCAGTGGTGAGGTTAGCCTTGAGGACTCGTGGTCTAGAGGGATGTGGGATGTGGTTTGCTGGTTTTGCATTGTATTAGATGACTTAGGTGCCGTTTGGTTAGCCCAGAACGGGTCGTTCCGGGGCCCATTCTGGAGGGGGAACAGAGCAGTTGTTTCAAAAACCGGAGTATTCTGGCCAGGATCGAAAACTGGTTTGGCCGCTGTCGAACGAGCCCTTAGTGAAGATCGATGCATGATGACTAGGGTGCAGATCATGGCATGTGAACATATAGTATTTCAATGATCTGGAGCAATCTGCTCATCTTTGCCACCATCGGTCGATGTAGTCACAGAGCTCACAAGCCCTTCATCACTAATATTGTAACTACTATAGTGCAACAAAGAGAGCCATATGATAGTTGTTCGAAAGAACATCACCATCACTACCGGGATCCTAGGACAAGCCTCCACGGCCAGGAAACTCATAGCCAATCACACCCTATGGAAGAAACCATCAAAGTGAAACTCATAGACAATCACACCCTATGGAGGAAACCATCAAACTAAGATGGCTAATAGACGAACTCTAGAAGATCACCATCTAGTAGATATAGTAAAGAGATAGATCTAGCTCCTCCTTCCTACCAGTGGCTTAGTAGAGGGGAAAAGAGAGGGGACCTAAGGCTGGTGCCAAAAAGAATTTTTCTTCGGTAACAGCGATGCTTGGTTATCTCTTTCGGGGGCTACTACCATACTAGAGGCTGCAACACAGTGTCATAAACACTTAGGCTTTGTTTGGATGCTCATGTATCCACCTCAATTCATATGTGTTGGAGTGATTTGGTGTGGAATTTAGTTTAAGTTCCACAACAAGCCACTTCAACATGTACTATATGGATTAAGGTGGATACATGGGTATCCGATTAAGGCCTTAAGTGGGAAAAAAGACAGGCCAAACACAGCCCATGCATGAACCGGATAACATTACAGCTAAAGCCCAATAGCAAGCACCATACACACACCGAAGCAGTGGGGCTTATTCGGTGGCCCACTAGGAAGAATGGAAGGCATCAGCTAGAGCTAGCTCTCCACATATCCTTCCTCTGTATGAATTTTATTACTACTGTTTTCGCCTCAGAAAATTTGATGTTCTACGATACAAAAATTGTTTGAGAAAACTTGACGTTTTAGCTCATGAATACTAGGTTAGGTCTAATTATCAACCTGAATACTAAGGTATGCATGCCTTCACGCATTCCTTTTAATTAGCGTACATTGTCCTTTGAATTTCCATCAGTACTAGTATGTCCCAAAACTCCTAAAACATCGAGTATTTTGGGACGACGGAGTATTACCCAATTTTGTTTCTTCATAAAATTTGCATGGTACAAATGGAAGAATGGCACTAACAAATATACACACGAAGTATTCATAAAAATATATATATATGAGGCATACAAAGACACGAATGCTAGCAACACGTGGACCAAATTGGTTCATGTGCCGCATCATAGCATCCTGTTGTTAACTATTCTACAGGTTGCATGATTGTATAACTACCTTACACATCATCCATGCAAAAGTATACCCAGATCCCTGCTGTTGTGCATGTGCTTGCTTCTTTCCCCGGCATTTTGACAAGTACTTACTAGTGGCCGGGCCACCGATCGATATGTATAAGAAACCATTGATCTATCTGAAAAGTCATTACGCAATCTTTAGATTTCATATGAGATTCCAACTTTCAGTAGCTTGCCATGTGGAATCGATAACATCTTCTCTCCTTGCATGAAGTTCTTCCTCAGGAAGGAGTATATGTAGTTGACCACAATCTTCTTAAGGAGCGAGGACTGAGGCAATGCCACCACCTCAGCCTCTCCAAGAATGTACACCACACCTTTCTCTGCTTCTCTTTGAATCACCTTCTGTTCCTCCTCAATCTTGGCTAACTCCTCGATATTCATCTTTGATTTCTGCTCATTAACAACCACCATCAATTTTACTATACTACAATAAATAATAGAACACAGTTACTTAGCTCAATTATTTAGTAGATTTGTCACCTGAAACTGCGGTAGACGATTGCTCAAACCATTTGACAGTGTTTGTGAGCTCGGAGAAGGATTGGATCGGCGTAATCATCTCCTCAGCATAGATGGCATGCCTTCCAGACGGCTTGTCCCGAGACAAGCTCTGATCGCGAGAAATTGGATAGCTAACATTCTGCATCTCATCCACTGAGTAGAGGTTGACATCTCGTATGTAGTACTGGAGACTCTCAACCAGAGCAACCACAAAGTCTTCAGCCTCCTCACCAATGGAGTCCCGGTACCCATACCGCGCCACGCATCGAAATACTTTGTACTCCTTGGGCTCTACTTGTCGGAAGAGGAAGCGCTCGGCAGCGTCGACATGGGGAACATGCAAATGCTTGATGGAGACGAAGATCAGGACCGAGTGAATGGCTGGGACCTTCTCGATGAGGTGAGGGAATATGGGTGGGATGCCTTGCACAAGCTCAGTGTAGAAGAGCCCAACTCCGGGGATCCTCATCAGATCATGCTTCTCAAGCAGTTTCTCAGCCTTAGCAGGGGATAAGGTGTGCTTCAGCTCGTATTTGTACCGTTTGACGTGCACGTAATGCCAAATGATCATCACCACCATCAAGACTGCCGACATGACCACAGGCACGTATGGTCCATGACTGAACTTGTATAGCACGGATGATAGGTAGATGGACTCGGTTGGAACGAAGACAATGAAGAAGAGCGCAATCCACAAGATATTGATTTTCCACACCAAGAGCATCACGATTGTCATCAGCAGTGTCGTGATGAGCATCACAATGATGACACAGATTTCTGTCAGTTATGAAGAAACATGATGGTTAGAGAGGTTTGTAAAATTTAGCTTTTTTGTTATAGAGGACAGTGCGATATGTGACGTTAAACACACACAGTTCATACCATGGGCTTTTCCGATAATGGTGGTTGTCTTGAAACTGACAGTCACCACGCAAGCAGCTATACAAAGCAGTAAGTTAACTTCAGGAACATACAGCTGTCCATGAAACCTCTTTGATGTGTGCAGTATCCTAACCCTCGGGAAGCAACTGAGTGTTTGTAAATGTGAAACAGTTGCAAAGGCACATGAGATCATTGCTTGGCTTCCTATGATTGATGCCGCAATTGCCAAGATAAATGTCGGCCAGAACAGAGCGCCTGAATTTTCAAGAACGAGAAGCACATCAAGTTTCAGAACAATTATTTATATAGAGAGATGTATGTACTAAATAAATATATTATAGGAGTATATGCTTACTTGGGGTTGATCTAAAGAAAGTGTCAGCAAAATGTTCGGGGTGCTTCATTAGGTATGCTGCTTGTCCGATGTAAGTAAGCAATAAAGATGGCAGTAATCCAAGGCTAAAGCTTAACTGAAAAGTTCCGAAAGAAAAGTTGTTTAGTATGACGACAATGCGCCTATATATACTTCTTTTAGAACATTCTTATTATTGAATCAAAGTTTAGGTATATGTTTTTTTATATCACTTCATTAACCAATATGAACCTAGTATTATCATGTCACTATATATCTGCATCAAACCATGTTTGCACATACCTGAATGGATCTAATGCTGAAGTATCCCAGATTAGCAAAAAGAGCTTCTGTTCCTGTGGAGAGTACATGCGTGCATGGTACAATATATGTTAGTATATGTAAATCATATATTTTCTTAGTTACATCAAAGATAAGTTCTTCCCTAGGCTTTGTTCGTTTGATCCCAAAATCAAAGGATTGAAGGGGATCGAAGGGCCGGGATGGAGAGGGACTTTGACTTGTAGGGGATTTAATCCCACTCAATCCCCTCCAACCCTCTTTGTTCTAAACTCAAACGAACAGGCCCTAAGTATGGCTAACTAGATTTGCAAAATATAACCTGTAAAAACAAGGAGGATGTCACCAAGTGAGATCCATCCTTCTTTCTTGTTTCTCCTGAAATAGTCAATGATGTATTTTGGGTTGAACGACCTCAATACACCAACATCATATTTGATCAGGTTATAGAGCCCAACTCCTCCAATCAGAAGCAACCACAGCAGGATGATTGGTGCGAACGAGTAGCCAACTTTGTCAGTTCCGAATCGTTGGATAGCAAACAGAACTACCAAAATTGCCACGGTGATCCATACTATTTGATCTGTGCGAAAATTAAAACAAGCTTTGCATTAGCTGATGTTGTAGCTTATTGACCGTGTCAATCCTTCTCTAACTATTTGCTAAAGTTAATGTCTTCTAAGTTCTAACTAAGATTAAGTTAAGATTTTCAGGGATCATATATATCAGGAAAGATAGCATGATTTCTACACCTGTCTTTGAAAAAAAATTCTCGACAGATCCTGATGCATATTTTGTTGTTAATTAATTACCTGTGGTCAAATCAGGCACCTTTTCCTTCAGGCCACTTACAGCTGAGAGCACTGAGTATTTTGTGAGGACAAGCAGCAAGAATCAGATGACATTGTTAAAACCTCTACAGATGTTGAGGTGATATTATCTGTAAAGTATAGATGAGTTTCTTTATACAGTACCCGAAATAGGAGGAGTTAGAACAGCGTCGCTGATGACCATCGCAATTGCAAGGATGGTAAGGAGGAACAGGGAAATCTTGGCCGACTTGCTTGTCTCAAGCAAATGCTTCAGCCAGTGAGCTCTCCTCAGTGTGGCCGACGACGGCTTTTCATGACTGTTGTAGCTGGAGACTAGCTCATCTTCGGCCTGATGGTTAGGGAGCAGACTCACCTTGGCATATCTCGAAATCAAAGAGTAGAGTGCAAACGTTCCTCCTGATATCAATCGTTAGTTAATTACATTATTTACTATCATATATAATTTTTTTTATCAAATTAAATTGTATGGCATGGCATGCAGGCACTAACCATCCCCGTCATCGTTGGCGTGGAGCGCAACCACGACGATCTTGATGACGGTGAAGAGCATGAAGCTGTAGATGATGAGGGAGAGCACCCCCAGGACGTCGTCAGGGTGGCCAACGCCGCCGCTGTGGCCGAAGGTGCTGGAGTAGACATATAGCGGCGACGTGCCGACGTCGCCGTACAGGATCCCCACGCACTGGAACGCCAGCCGCAGCGTCTTAGCCCAGCTATCCTGCATGTACGGCCGATCCATGGTCAATACTCAATAGTCAGTCAGATGGGCAAAACATGGACTGACTGAACACGACGTGTCTAACTCTACCACCGTTGCATTTGCATTGCACGCATATTCGAGAGTTACTTGGACGTCAAGCAGAGTACGTACATGATCAGCGTGTCCTGCGCCGCCAGCAGCACGGTGGTGATGACCCGTCACCGCCTCCCGGAACAGTGAGTCCTGCCGATCCACGATGGACGACGACGACGCTCCATCCAGGCTGCCGCTCTTGATGTCGACGACGACGACCTCCGGCGGCCGGTCGCCATCTCTAGCCCTCTCGGCAGTGAGAACCATCGAGGTTAATAGGACACTTCTTCCTTACTATAGCGCTACTAGGAGGTTGCTCGATATGTACCACTCCGCTATCTGCTTGTTGCTTATTCTTCGATCTCTCTACTACAATCTAGTCTAGCTACATGCACACAAGTCCTGTGTGTTCATGGTAGCTTACCAACCATCCGAGATCGGTGCTGCCTTTTATAGGCAGAGCAGAGTGTACGTGTGGTGGTGGCTGCTAAGTCCGTTCCTCCATGTGATTCCCTAATAGCTGCCGTTTTTAGGTCTACCGTTGGTTTTGCTACTGACTTTGCTTGTGCTGCTGCCATCATCGTTTACTTCGCATGCATGGCGCGCAACGAGTTGCGAAATTTGACTCGGCATGTGAATGCATATGCATGCGCTCCGATCCCCGGCCTCAAGTTTATATATATATTACTTACGACGGAATGACTGGGACATCACGATGGGGGGCCGACAAAATTAAATTAAAGCTCATTTATTTCGTGTCTGCTTATATATCCAGTGTTAAGTATTAATAACTAACTATATATATTTATTATTCATCATGGGTTACGTATCAAAGAAGGGATACGCATGGTAATTAAGCTGACATTTTCACCATTGACTTGTTGTTAGTAGGTTTATTTCGAGGGGTCTTACGTATTGTTTCTGGCTATCAATTGCTTTGTTCCTTCTTGTTGCTTGCTTTCTTTGCTTTTTTATTATTCATTCACCCGTACCTCAATTCCGTACAAAAAGTCTATCAACATGTGCTCCTGCATGGGCTATGACCTCCGGAGGCTTAAGCTTTACATGTTCACGTTTAACTATAACCAAGAGAAAAGTTATTGCTATGCACTCTATATTTATTTTTCTTACATAATATGCATTATGACATCTCGATCCAATTGTGATAAGTTTATTATCCATGTGTATTCAATATACATGTAGTTGACACCTTAGCTCAAGTTATTTACTATAGCCCATGTCTTATGACATCATGGATCTAGAATTGTACATGTAAATTTAAAGGTTTAATACTTTATAATGTTTCACACTACAATCACTACTAGAGAAACAGACTTTAGAACGATGTCCCAATTTGACATTAGCCTCGGTATTTTTTTTTGCCCCTGGGACTAAAGGACCCTTTAGTCCCGGTTGGTAATAGGTCCCTGCCCAACGGTCATCCGCGGGGCAGGGATCTTTAGTCCCGGCTGGTATTACCAACCGGGACTAAATGTTTACCTTTAGTCCCGGTTGGTAATACCAGCCAGGACTAAAGCTTTTAGTCCCGGTTTGGGTGATGCTCCGGGAATAAATATTAATCTTTAGTCCCGGTTTGGCCCCCTAATCGGGACTAATTATCCCAGCCTATACACCAGCTCATTTCTTCCTCCCCGAGCCCGAGCCCATTCAAACTCACTATCTCTGTTCTTCAGCTTGCTGTTGTTCTTGCTCTCTCCCCCTCCATTGGTGTTGCTCTTCGATTTTGGAGGTAACAAACTTAATCCTCTTATGTTTTATCAGTAGCTTATCTCATTTTGCGATGTAAATGCATATTAAACTTTATATGTTGGACTTTATTATGATTTTATATGTCATTTTTAGCTCAAAATCACATGATGATTTGCATATATGTTTGGATAAACAAAAGTTAAATTAGTTCATCAAAATCACGCCTCGCTCGTCCTCGCTGGAGCACGCGCCATCCTCGTCCCCGGCGGCTTACGTGATCTTAGAATTAATTTTTCCATCAAATGAAAAACTTAGAAAATAGTTAGAAAATTGTAGAAAATCCATACTAGTTGAACTTGCGGACCGTGTTCATTTCGGCGAGCATGTTCTCTGCCGAGCGGTAACGGACGTCAAAGAGGAGCTTTGATTCTACAAGGAAGAGCGGCAACGGTCGTGGAAGACCGTGTTGCCTTCCTCATAGAATCGGAGCTCTTCCTTGGCCAAGTACGGTGCCGTCCGGTGGAGAAATGCTCGCCGAGATGATCACGTAAGCAAGGTCAACTAATACGGATGGTTATTTATTGAAACATGTTTTTAAGCTATGTGATTTCTATGTTATTTTTAGCTCAAAATCACATGATGATTTATAATAGTAAAATCACTTGATAGTTTGGTATTTTACTATTATACATAGTACATATTTCATGGTTTAGTTAGATAAATAAATAATTTTAGTTTTGTTTAAATATATTATTTTAGAAAATGTGAAATTTATACTAGTTTGCAAAAATAAGTATAGAAAGTAGATAATAACTGGTACCGGATCCTCAGCCTCTCGTTCGGTTGCGAAACGACTGAAGCCAGAACTTCCTCTCATTATCTACGGCAAGTGTAAGCAGAAGATTGTGATGGAGTACCGAGTCAAGAGACAAAGACCCAACAAGGGTCGTGTTTTCTACAAGTGCCCGGATCACGATGTGAGTTTCTTACGCATTTGATTATTATGGCTATTTGACCTGCTTTTCTTGAATATTTTTGACTAAATATTTTTTGGCTTTAATTTCAGTGGGAGGGCAATGGATGCGATGGTTGGTACTGGGAGGAAGATTATGCTACATACGTGCAGAATTCGGGTGCGCTTGAGGTAGCAGCTTCTGATGATGAGGCAGTGAGCCAGCAGGAGAAGCTTATTGATATTCAACAGAAGAATGATTTGTCTGTTTTAGTTGCGTACGGTCACGAAATAATTATGTTACTGAAGTGCATTGTAGTTTTAGTTTGTTTAGTGATAGTTGGGATTGCTTACGTTGTAGCTAGGCTTAGTTAATTAATCAACCGTATGTGTGTCATCTATGTTGTGTAATAAAATACTTAATTATGTTCAAGATTTTCATAATTTGTCGTGTAATGCAGATTATGTCATGCCATTGGATGTACAATACCGATCGCCGCTCCCAAGACCTTATTGAGGGCGTGCACTATTTCTTAGGTGTGGTCGAGGCAAATAAGCAGGATGGTTACATGTGCTGTCCATGTGCCATATGTAAGAATTTAAAGGAATATTCAAGCTCAATGAGTCTTCATTCACATTTGCTTAAGTCAGGTTTCATGTCAAACTATATATGTTGGACTTTGCATGGAGAAAGTGGGGTCATGATGGAAGAAGGTGAAGGAGAAGATTTAGACATTGATGACATTATTGCTCAGTATGGTGCCTTTGATGATACTACAATGGGGGGAGATGAAGAAGAGGTAGCGGCAGAAGATGATCTCGGTGATGCTCTTGGCCATGCCATTCGTGATGCACAACAAGAATGCGAAAGTGAAAAAGAGAAAGTTAAGTTCGAGCGCATGCTTGAGGATCATAGGAAGTTGCTATACCCAACGGCCGAAGAGGGGCAAAAAAGCTGGGTACAACACTGGAATTGCTACAGTGGAAGGCAAAGAATGGTGTATCCGACAAGGCATTTGGGAATTTATTGAACCTCATAAAGAAGATGCTTCCGAAGCCAAATGAATTGCCCACCACTACGTACGAAGCAAAAAGGTTGTCTGCCCTTTGGGATTAAAAATCCAGAAGATACATGGATGTCCTAATGACTGCATCCTCTACCATGGCAATGAATACGAGAATTTGGATGAATGCCCGGTATGTAAAGCAGCGCTGTATAAGATCAGACGCGATGATCCTGGTGACGTTGAGGGTGAACAACGTCCTAGAAAGAAAATCCCTGCCAAGGTTATGTGGTATGCTCCTATAATACCATGCTTAAAATATTTGTTTAGAAATAAAGACCATGCAAAGTTGTTGCGGTGGCATAAAGAAGACCGTAAGGTAGATAATATGCTGAGACATCCAGCTGATGGGTCCCAGTGGAGAGCAATAGATAGGGAATTTCCAGAGTTTGCAAATGAGGCTAAAAACTTAAGGTTCACCTTAAGTACAGATGGTATGAATCCTTTTGGGGAGCAGAGCACTAGTCATAGCACTTGGCTAGTTACTCTATGTATCTACAACCTTCTTGCATGGTTATGCATGAAGCGGAAGTTCATTATGATGCCGATCCTCATCCTGGCAATGACATTGATGTCTATCTGAAGCCATTAGTTAAAGAACTTCTAGTTTTATGGAACAAACCAGGTGTACGTGTCTGGGATGAGTAGAAACAAGAACACTTTGACCTACGAGCAATGTTGTTCGTAACAATCAATGATTGGCCTGCTTTAAGTAATCTTTCAGGTCAGACAAACAAAGGATATAATGCATGCACACATTGTTTTGATGACCTTGACAGTATATATTTGAAAAGATGTCGAAAGGTCATGTACCTTGGCCATCGTCGATTCCTTCCTTTGAATCACCAAGTAAGAAAGAAAGGTAAGCATTTTAAAGGTAAGCCAGACCACCGGAAGAAGCCTCATAACCGAACCGGGGAAGATGTACTCGCAATGGTCAAGGATGTGAAAGTAGTATTTGGAAAGGGACAAGGCAGCGAATCTGTTCCCAAAGATGCTAAGGGACACGCACCCATGTGGAAGAAGAAGTCCATCTTTTGGGAGCTACCCTATTGGCAAGTCCTAGAGGTCCACAACGCAATCGACGTGATGCACCTGACAAAGAATCTTTGTGTGAACCTGTTAGGATTCATGGGTGTGTACGGGAAGCCAAAGGATTCACTTGAAGCACGCCAGGACTTGCAGGGCATGAAAGAACGAGACAACCTTCATCTAGAGAAGATAGATGATGGACGTCATTACTTAAGTCCTGCTAGCTACACGCTTAGCAAAGAAGAGAGGGACAGCATGTTCGAATGTCTAAGCAGCATCAAGGTCCCATCGGGATTCTCCTCCAATATAAAGGGTATAATAAATGTGCCAGAGAAGAAATTCCTAAACTTAAAGTCCCACGACTGCCACGTGCTTATGACGCAATTGCTTCCGGTTGCTTTAAGAGGAATTCTACCTCCACATGTACGTCTAGCCACCGTGAAGCTATGTGCATTACTCAATGCAATTTCTCAGAAGGCAATCAATCCAGTGGAACTAGCTACTCTACA